TTTTCTGGGTCAAAGTAAAACAAGAAAGGTTAGTTGAAACTGCAAAATACATAGCTCCAGTGTCAACAATAAAGGACAGGAAAAGATTACAGCAGGAGAAAGAAACAGGCATGTAAGATGCTCATTCCAACTCCAAGGTTCCTCAGTTAGGTCAGTTTTGCCCAGTAGTTTGCGCCATTTGCTGGTTATTTTCTGTCTCTTTTCCTGAGTGGGTGGGGAGTCTCCTGGAGAGGTAGTAAATCCTCATAGTTAGGTGGCATCCCTTGTGTTTTCCTCAATTTCTTCAAGCATTCCTTTTTCTAATACCCTGGCCTCTTGTAATAGTGACATGCTGACTTTTTATTAGGGGGTCTCTATTTGTTGGTGGCCCCAGATAACAGTTTGCTCCCTTTATGAATAATTCTAATTGGCAGCTAACACTGCAATCTTAAGTTTCTTTTTGTCTTCTTTATCTTTCTCCATATTTTCCTAAGACTGTTGCTGCCTGTCATTACCCGAGAAGCTCTCCTTGCCATCTTATTACCTTTTCTCTTACTTGTGTTTGTTGAATTCCTGGCAACAAGGCTGCCACAAAAGTGGAGAGGGCCAAGGATCTATTCTGATCTTCCTCTGCAACCATCCCTGTAAATTTAGAAAATGCCTCAGTGAGCCACTGACGAAAATCGATGAGGGCCCATTTGGCAGCAGCAGCATCATAGCTTCCCCCAGCTCACCGTCCCCCAGCAGAAAGTCCTCAAGGACTGCCATCAGCAGCCCCTCACAGTGGGTTTCCCACGCGGGAAGAACAGCCTGTGTTGTTGGATAGTTGACTTTCTGAGGTCCTGGATTCCCTTATGTGGATGTTGTTTTGCTCCCATCATGCCTGTTTTATTAGTTGAGCAAAGTCAGCCAGAGGCAATACTCTATGCAGCAGCCACTGTGCATCCCACGCCTGGGGCTGTAGACTGAAAACATGCTGTGGAGCACCTTGCCAAATTTTTGCAAACCTCCCAGAGCACTGGAAAATAACTCTTAGGATGGGTAATACCAGCTGGGGGAAAGGATATGCACTTTTGCCATGCCCAGTCCTCCAGCTATCCTGGGTAACTTCTAAGATGCATTTGAATCACTGGAGCTCCAAAGAGATGGGGTTGATTTATTTCATGTTGAAGTGGAAAGTAAGAGGGTTTGTTTGACACTGTAGTTTTAGTCTCCTTTTGCCATTTTTAATCATTTTTGCTTCCCTGCCTATGTTTTGCGTGATGGTTTGGGGGCATTTTGGAGTAGAATCCCTATCAAGACATTCAGATAGGGCTGGCAGTTCTCCCCTTTCCAAATAGAACTCATTACCAGGTCCTGTCACCACTGGGAGCTCTCCATCCAAGAGGTCATCATCCCTCTCCTCGAGGTCCCAGGTTGAGGCAAAGCAGGGTAAAGGGAAGAAGGCAGAAGGAGCAACAGCAGAGAAGGATTGAGAACATGGAGAGAGAGAAGGAGCTTTCAGTTTCTTAGTCATTTCCTCCAGTTTCTTAATTCGTTCTTTCTGGCTGCACGATCCATTCTTTCATTTATTTCTTGAGATCCAGAGACACTAGTAATCTTTTTGTTTTGAGTAGGATTTTTTTTTTTCCTAAAAATCTCTGTAAATATACCAATTTATCTACCTGAAAAGAGCCTTCCTCTGGCCATTAAAAGGCAGGGTTTTCATAAGTAATCCCATTCCAAACATGACAGAGTGAGAAAGCCTTTCAAGAGAGAGACCTGCTGACAACATTCCCTGTTTTTCTACCATTAAAGCCAATGGTGAATCAGATGGGACCTCAAAGCCCGCATTATCTATTTTGCTCAATAGTAGCTCTTATCCATTTTGCTCAATAGTAACTCAAAATTTGCAGCAAGGGTTTGAAATTTTCCCTGGGAACTCAATCCCACTGAGCCAAAGTAGTCAAAAGAAGACTTTTTGGCAAACAGGGTCTCTTATCAGATCAAAGGTGGCCACAAATCCTCCAGCAAATTCACGAATTTTTTTTCTCCCTCTGCTGTCAGTATCATTATGAATTCGTTCATTTCTTCTAGCAATCCTGTCATCTTTTGCGTTACCCATTAGGAGACTTTTTTACATGCACGCAAGTTCAGAATTATTATAGCTCCTTTGTGAGTTGTTCCTTTCTTACCATTATATAATAACTTTTTTATCCCTAATAATGTTCTGGATCCCTGGTGGCACAGTGGTTAAGATCTTGGCTGCTAACCAAAATGTCGATAGTTCAAATCCACCAGCTGCTCCTAGGAAACCCTATGGGGCAGTTCTGCTGTATCCCGTAGGGTCACTGTGAGTTGGAATCAACTTGACAGCAACAGGTATAATAATGTTCTGCCTTAAAATGTATTTTTTCTGGTATTAATAGAGCTGTGTCAGGTTTCCTTTGGTTTATGGCATGCCTAGTGTAGAAGATAAGCATATATTCAACTGCAAATAACAGAATATTTTACTACAGTTGCTTGAAACAAGGGGGAGGGTGGGTATTTTTTCTCAAATAACAGGAAGCTCCGAGGTAAGTGTGAGTCCATCTGCTCAGGATGCCAGGCTCATTATGTGTTTCTATTTAGCGTTCACATTGTGGCAGCTTTCATATTCATGCTTGTTTTCTCCCCATAAGGCTGGCTTGTTTGGGAAGCACACTCCACCAGACTTCTTAAATCTTTTTAGGAGAATCTACTCTTAGATCAGTCATTGGCCCACAGAGATGAGATTAGCATGAGTAACTTAAACCAATCATGATTCATTAGTGTAAGGCCCATTCCTTCTAATCTATTTTCCCTTTCCCTTTCATAAGGAGAAAAGGAAATAGAAAAAGGAGAGGATGATGAGAACAGCCTTTATTATATCTATGGCATGGTACAGTATCCTGTTTTAACTCTCTAGGGTCTATGTCCTATGATTGCAAATGGTCTGCTGTTTACACACATTTTATGAAAGTTCTTTAATTAGAAGAGGGACTCTTCTATTTCTAGAGTGAATAAAATATGATCGTTGCCCTCACCAAATGAAATCACCAGGAAGAAAATGCTTATGCAGGCCTCTCTTTAGAGCCAGCAGCAGTTAACTGCTGGTTTTAGTAAACCAAACATCATTACCCATTGCCGTCAAGTCCATACCGACTCATAGTGACCCTATAGGACAAGGTAGAATTGGCCTATAGTGTTTCCAAGGCTGTAAATCTTTACGGACGCAGACTTCTGCATCTTTCTCCCTCAGAGCAGCTGGTGGGTTCAAACCACCAACCTTTCGATTAGCAGCCGAGCACTTAACCACTGTGCCACCAGGGATCCTTCAAACAGCAATTAGTGACTAACAAAATAAAATCTACTTAGATTCCAAAGCATTAATACAAAATAAAAATACAGTGAGGTTTTAAAAAGTTGAATTTTGTATTCATAAATAGCAAGTATTTATGTTCTCTTAAAAACGGGTTGAAGTGATTCGCCTTTCTAAACCTCTGTACGCAGGACTATTAAAACACCTAGCGTACATGGCACAATACTTATATAAATGAAGTCCTTTGAAGTAGTCAGCTTGTGTAGCAAATGAAGCCATTGGGTTACATAGTTCTATCTAATCCCTGCTAGCTTTCTTCAGTTAGCTACTCTTCAGTCATTCCAGAGACAGCCTTTGTCCTACCTGTGATTAGTGATTTCAAATCTAAATGCTTCTAGTACCACCATTTACCACAGCTTTCCAGAAGACTGATGAGATTTCAGTATTTTCCATGAAACCTAACATCACTTTATACCTTTGTTAGGCATTGCCTGGGCTATCAGGTAGCCTTTCTTACTTCTAAAATGGGACCTCAAACTCTCACTTCCCTTATCCCATGCTCTGAAACTTCCAGTGCATCTGAATCCACCTCTGATCTTGCCCTGGACCATTAGGATGGGCCTGTTGAACTAAGCAATCTTTGTGGTTTGCATCTGTAGCCTTCAACATCTACAAAGCAAGTTGGTCTATTTTTGTTTTGTTCTAAAAATGACTAGCGTATGTTAGATGGTTCTAGTGCTTCCCAGGGGACCACTGCAACAAATACTAATAAACCTAATGTTTGAGTTGCACTTAAAGGTAAAGCATTTATCTACATTATCTAATTCAGCTCTCCTTAGCCCTAAGAAGTACAGATCTATCTCTAGATAAGAAAATTAGAGCCCTTAGAGCTCAAACTATAAAAGAACATAACTATTGCATTCGACACTGTCTTTAAAGACATTGGATTAAGTGAATTATCAGGTTAAAGTGTACAAGCAGAGCCTGGTGCTAGATGAATACTTCTTGAATGACTACACCCTTTGAGTTGGGCATTTTCTTTTAGACACCAAGACTGCTAATCCAGTTTTGAATGCCCTTTTGTCATCATTAATCCTTGTCCAACACAGTATCATTGAACAGAAACCAGGTGTCTTTTTATTGAGAGAAATGGAAAGTATTGCTTGTATGAGATTAAGCATTGTGAACATGTTTTTTCTCTCTGTGACTGTGTGGTAGGTATGCTGTTTTACATTGGTCACCTAATGTGTGTTTTTTAATCATTGGATTGAAATACAGGCATAAGAATTCTTGAGAAGGAACCATTTTTAGAAACTCATAAGTATTCCTTTCCACTGTTTTTACAGATATTTTTCTGTGTGACTTCTTTTTTACATTTGACTGAAATTCTTCTCACTTTTTTTTTCCCTATGTTGGTCAAAAAGAACTTGTATCTTTCTGACTAGTTACCTTTACAGCTTTGCATTTTATAACATTTTTCTTTATTCTCCACAAAGTAGTCATCCCAATTTTCTTATTTTTTCCTTATAGATCTTAATACTCAACACCTAAGTATCTTAATATCTTCTAAACTCTATGCAATTCCACCTTAAATTGTAAATCTTCTGTTATAATTATATGATCATTTCTGCTTACAAACATGAATTAATTAAATTGAATTTGGGGTTTGTTGTGTTTTAAGCGTTCTAAAATAATCTTTCAGCCATGGAAACAAAGAAGTATTTTCCTGCCGTGGAATAAAATTGGCAGTAGACTGGTTTTTGGAAAGAGGCCACAAAGATATTACAGTTTTTGTTCCTGCTTGGAGGAAAGAGCAATCCCGACCTGATGCCCTCATTACAGGTAAGCCCTGTTAGCAGTTTGTTCTTAGCTTCTTTATGCCACTGTCAGGTATTCTGTTGAACAAAATGTTAATCTGGTCCTGTTCACACAATCAATGGGGCTGCTGTATTCTCTTGGATTTTAAAGTTCTTTCTGAGTTTGAAAATTATCTAATTATGTTAACCAACCATTAATTCTTGCTACATTTTTTTATTTGTATGGAAACTTTTGACTTCAAATTTTGTAAATTCTGACCTTTAGAGACATGCTAGGAGTCAGGAGACCTAGATTCAAATTCTAGCTTTGCCATTTACTGGCCACAGGACTGTGAGTGAGACACTGGACTTCTCCGAGCCCCCGTTTTCTCATCTGCTCTTTTAGACTAGGTGACTGTCAAATTCTTATTACTGCAGGTCAAAAAAGACTATCTGGTGTCAAGTACAAGGAAGTGACTCAATCCCAGTGAAGTATTTATATTTTGCATTATTCTGTAATTTTTAAATGTTTACGTTTCAGACAAAAATATCCTCTATAACTGTTCATTATTGTTGTTTAACATTTTGCTCAAGTTCAGTGATTTCTCATTCAGCATCCAACCCTTCTTGCCCCTGTCTCCACCTCCAACACTAACAAAAACTGTGGGGAACCTATATGAAGAAAACCATAAAACTTTTCAAATCAAAGACAAATGAGACTACCTACCATGTACCTGAAAGGAAAGGCCGTTATAAAGATGTTTATTCTGACCAGATTGATTTACAAGTACAGCACCATCCTGCCTGTTTTCTTTCTTCGTTTTTTTTAATACTTGACAAAATTATTCTGAATCATCTGGAAAGACTGGCGCAAGAACAGCTAACGAAGAGTAATAGGAGAAGGTGATTGGCCTATCAAATATTAAAGCATTCTCTTTATCTACAATCATTATATCGTTGTTAAACTAGCATAAGAATAGATAGGCAAGCAGTGGCAGAGTTCAAACCCATGAAATCAGACGCTAGCCTATATAAAAATATAAAGTGGGAGAAGTATAGGCATAATTCCACCAGTAGCACCAAGACATGGGGTAACTCTTTGGGAAAAAAGGTATATGTATTTTATTCTTACACCATATAATAATAAATTCCAGATAACTCGAAGGATTAAGTGTTAGAAAACAAACCATCCTATAAATAAATAGTCTTCAAGTGACTTGGGGACACCTTTCTAAATTTAAAAGTTTAGAAAGAGATTACAAAGGATAAGATAGATTTAATTACATCAAAGTTTGAACTTCTGTATCCTGGGGAAATTTCAAAAATGAAAACCAATTGATACCTAAGGAAAAAAATGTCATCAAAGAATCCGTGCCCTTTTCATAGAAAGAGCTCATATAGATTGATAAACACAAAGCTGTCCCCAGGATATAAATGGTAAAATGGCCCACATAGACAACTCACAAAAGAAATACACGTGTCAAACAAGAAGAAAAAACATTCAGCCTCATTAGTCAGAAAAGAAACACAAATTAAAACAATTGTTAGTTTTCACCCATGAAATTAGCAGGAGTTTAAAAACGGATATATCCATTCCACTGAGGGCATTACTTACACTGCTGTGGAGATGTAAATTGTTACAACCATTCTGGAAAGCAGTTTCATCCTAAAATGTTAACACTGTTGGATTTACTAGTTTCCCTTCAAGAAAAAATTCCCCCAAAAATAATCAAAGATACCAGCAAAGATTTATGTCCAGTGACATTCAGTGCAGCATTATTTACAATAGAAAAAAATGGAAACAAACTATATACTCATCATTAGAAGAATGGTTCAATAAATTAGGGTACATCAATATGATAGAATATGCATGAGAATATTGAGGTAGAAGTTTTAATGCTCTGAGGAAGTGCTCCTTGACATTAAAGACAAGTTTTATTATAGAGTGTGTTCTCTCTCACACACACACACGTACATATATCAACAGTGGGAAAAAATTACAGAGAAAATGACTGGAAGGAAAAATACCAAAATGTTAACATCAATTGCCTTCGGGTTGTGACTATATGAGGTCTTTTATTTTGTACAAAGAACTTTTAATGCTTTGATAATCAGAAAAGTAAACAAAAAAAGAAAAAGAACATTTAAGCATGGAAATGACTGGAAGACTTCTAGAGCATGGAACTAATATGATATCAAGGAGAAGAGAAAGTGTGAGGTGTGGCTGAGTTTAATTAATTCAAAAGGTATCAGCATGCCAGATCTCTAGAAGACATCAGTTATGCGATTTACTTTGTAAACTTCGTAGAACTATTGTCGGAGGGTTTTAGCAGCCCCCCACCCCCACCCCAGGGTAATAATTCTCCTGACTAAAGCCTTCAACCAGATAATACCTGGTAAATTAAACAGTCCAATGTTTTTTCACTTAAAAATATTTCACTTACAAGGTATACCAGAAAAGAAACTGGCTAAGAAATATTTTAAAGTTCTCAGTGTTATAGATTCAGACTAGCATCTGTTTTTAGTCTTTTATTCATGTAACAAACGTTTAATAAACTCCAGCTGTGTACCAGGTAGTAGTCCCTGGGTGGTGCAAGCAGTTAATGCATTTAGCCACTACCCAAAAGGTTGACAGTTTGAGTCCACTCAGACGCCCCTCAGAAGAAAGAGCTGGCAGCCTACTTCTGAAAAATCGGCCATTGAAAACCCAATGGAGCACAGTTCTGCTCTGACACACATAGGATTGCCATGAGTTGGAATCAACTCAATGGCAACTGATAACTGGTATGTATCAGATATTGTGCTAGGAACTGGATATTCAGTGGACAGTAAAAGAAATACACTTCCGTGACGATTGAGAAATGCCATATACAAATAATCACCCTCACAAATAATAAAGTACCATGGATTACTCATGAACATAAACTGATCAATAAACTGGAAGGCCTCAGGAGCATACGTCTTTAAATAGCTCATTTATTCATTCTACAGATGTTTATTGAGCACCTACTGTATGCTTCATGTGCTGGGTATTGATGAGTATAAAGATAAATTAGACATGGCCCCTTCCCTCAAAGTGCTTTTTATTAGGGAAACACACAAAACAATTATAATTTGACCAATCCTAAAGTTGAGACCGAGCTTTTGATTTTGTGTTGGTTTTCTGTCACTTTTTAAAGAGATCAATAATTGCATCCAGTAAACAAAATTAAGTTAAAGAACGTGTTTATGGAGAGCTTGCCAGGCACTGTGCTAGGTGCTTTCACATGTGTTAATTCGTTTTCTCCTCATAGCCTATCAACTGCATATGAGCAGAGGAAGAAACAGGCTCAAAAAGATTGTAACTGCCCTATTTAGAAAGTAACAGAACCTGAGTTTTATCTGTGATTTGCTGGTTCTAAATGCCCACATTTCTTCTACTTCTCTTCTCTGCTTTCCTTATGAACTCATTTGTTAGGAACCTCATCCGATCTCTCTACCAGCATGAGAGCTGACCCATATCGCTCTTCCATTCCTTCTTCTCTTGTACCCTGCTCATACTTCTACTGTAGCAATTACAAGTTTGCCCAACCTGCTAAGACTGAGAACTTAAGAGAGGTCATTGTTAATCCTGGTGACGACTGGCACCTAGTCAAGTACATACTGTGGAGTAGGCATGCAATAACTGTGCGGTGAAAACATGCTTAAACAATAGCAGTAAAATACGTTTTCCAGTTAATAAGCCTTAAGAAGCAGTGAACGTGTTTTTTTTTTTTTTAATCATATCTGTAGGTCTCTATACCTGGCATTCTGTGCCAGGAATTTACAATGGTGAGACAATACAGAATAAAAGAAGAAAAGTAGGAAGAAGGGATGGTTGACAAAAATTTTTATAATTGATCAAAATAATTAACACCTTTGTTTTTTTTACCACAAAACAAATCATTAGAGTTACAAAGTGCTGAGAGTATGTCAACCAAAGACAAAATGAGTGTTCTTCCACCTATCTTTTTTCCTGTCATAATTACTCCTAATCTCTTATTTAAGGAGCCTTGGTTGTACAGTGGTTAGCTCTTGGCTGCTAACTGAAAGGTTGGCAGTTCGAACCCACCAGCTGCTCTGTGGGAGAAAGATATGGCATTCTGCTTCCATAAAGATTACAGCCTTGGAAACCCTATGGGGCAGTTCTGCTCTGTCCTACAGGGTTGCTATGAGTTGGAATCAACGGCAACAGGTTTTTACTCTCTTATTTAGTCAGCCCCCACAGGAATGCTCACCTGTGTAACCCATACTTCACAGAAAGAGATGTGGAACAAATGGCCGTGCCCATAACAAGACTTCTGAGTTTCAATGCCTTCTTTCTCTTTGGACTTTCTGATGCAATTTAAGGCTTTTCGCTTTGCCACCTCTACTACTACTTTTCAAACTCGCCCGCCACCACATGCACTAGTTAGAAAAAACAACTAAAATAAACAAAACTTGGGCACATCTGCTGTCTCACACCTGAGCCCAGCACAGCGGCTTTGTCAGGATGGCGTCGTGCTGGGAGTCTGCAAGGAGCTGCATTCAAAGCTGTAGTACTGGTGGCTCAAGCTCAGAATTTGTTCAGTCACAGTTGGGTTTTATGCTGCTCATTTTTTGCCTATTTTAAAAGCCTTTATTACTGAAGTTCTTGAAAGAAAATTAACGATTATTGACGTTTACAAATTGCACTATATCCACAAACTGCAAATCATAATCCCCAATTAAATGATTACATGTGAGTCCTTGTGCTCAGTGGTTAAGAACTATGGCTGCTAACCAAAAGGTCAGCCAGCCCCTCCTTGGAAGCCCTATGGGGCATTTCTACTGTCTCCTATAGGGTCGCTTTGAGTCGGAATTGACTCGATGGCAACAGGTTGTTTTTTTTTTTTTCTTTTTTAATCCAGTTCATGTTATGAAAGTTCACATTTTATGAAAGTTGCTGTATGTGCTTTATATGTATTTATTCCTGAAATTTTACCCTTGTGATTCTGGCAGATCAGGAAATTTTACGTAAATTAGAGAAGGACAAAATCCTGGTGTTCACGCCATCCCGACGTGTGCAGGGGAGGCGAGTGGTGTGCTATGACGACAGGTTCATTGTGAAGCTGGCTTTTGAGTCGGATGGTATAATTGTGTCCAATGACAACTACAGGGATCTGGCTAATGAAAAACCAGAATGGAAGAAGTTCATAGATGAGCGGTTATTAATGTATTCATTTGTCAATGACAAGTAAGTAAAACCGTTTACTTGCCAATATATACTGCTTCCCTGAAAATCTAACTCTCCGTGACAGCTGCTACAGATTCCCACCCTTTTTGCAACTGCCCAGACCTAAGACAGATTTCTTCCAACTACTGATTTTCCCACTGATACTCAGTGCCAGTCAGAAAAACTGCCGAGTCGTGCCTCAGAAGGTTCTGTGTGAGGAGCTGTTGAAGTGGCAGGTCCCTGCCCTTCCCTGTCAGACACTGACGGGCACCTGAGGCAGAGCAAGGCTTCTGACACTGTCTGAGTAACTTGTAATAGCCGACACGGGCAATTTTCATCTTCAGAGAAAGAAAATTTTGAATATATTGATGCCCCAAAAATGGCTGCTGGAAATCTACCTAGAGCTTTGCTAACTTAACTAAATAGATGATTTTCATTTAAGTTCTAGAAACTCTAGTCCTGACCAGAGTCTGCAAATGGATAAATGGACAAATTACATGAAACAGCATGTCCCAGGAGAAGAAGTATAATTATAAATATGTAGAAAAATGTCCAACCGTTGCTAATCAAAAGTGAAAATTAAATCTACAAAAAACATGTTTTTTTCACTCATTTAATTCTCAAAGATAATGTTTCATATGCCTTATACTGGTAAAAATGCGGTGAAACTGATATATAATTTGGCATGGTTTATCAGAATCCTTAAAAATATTATGCCCTCTCAATCTTATAATCCCATTTCTAGGAGTATATAATAAGGAAAAAAGAAAAACCAGAGGTGTTCATTACTGTAGTATTTATAATTGTAAAAAATCAAAGGCAAACCAAATGTACAATAGAGAAACCAATTAAATTACAATACATAGTCTAGTGAAATTGTGCAGCTGTTTAGAATTATTATTATGAAGGCTGTTAAGAAACACTGAAAAATATTTATATGTTAAAAGGACAAAGTATAAAATTATATTTATGTTTGATTAAAGTCATGTAAAATGGTGTATGCATATGGAAAATTACTAAAGTGCAGCATAGACATAGAAAATACTTGTATTGGGATTATAGAATTGAGTGAATTTGCCTTCTCTTTTTAACTTTTAGTGTCATACTGTTTTTATAAAAAATATTAAATGCTGTATTTGCTAAGTGTTATTACTCAATTATGTTAACAATGCTATGAAAATTTACACATTACTCACATTTTATATGTAAATACTTATTTCAAGTTCAAACAGTAACATAATCAGTATTAGATCTCTTCAGTCAAAATTATGCATGCCATGAGCTCTTCTTGCCTCCATTGGAGAATCAACCCAAAAGAATATAAGTTTACTTTCTTAAGACTTTTTCTGTCTCAGCTAAGAATTACCTTAGTATGGTTAGAAGAGACTAGGCTTTGGAGTCAGACATAATTGAATCTTAGCTACGCCATGTAATCTTAGATAAACATTACTTAATTCATCTAGGTCTATACCAGAAAAGTTTATTAATCTGTCAAACAGAGCTGAAACTTCATGGGAGGATTGTTAGGATGAAATGAAACAATGTGTGTAGAGTATCGGGCACAAATGGGTGTTTAGTAAGCTTGAGTTTTCTGGTTAGTTTCCACCACCTCTCCCTTCCTCCCTCAGCTGCTGCCTCTGCACTCACTCCCCACCTGCTTCAGAGTGCTTCACAAAATTAATGTTTATGAAACACTCGTTAAATGTCCTGATAGTTTTCTAAAATCCTTACAAAATCCCAAGACTGAGAGGGAAAAAGAACTAATTAGAACATGCTAGACTCAAAACTTACTTGAAATAAAACAAACACAAGTTCAGCGTGAAACATTTTATTTTCATTAAGAAAAGAGAACTTCATTTATTGCTTTTTTTTTTCTTAACCCTGTAAATGTTGAATCAAATACTTGGATTAAAATTTCAAAAAAATACCTTCGAATGAGTAAGTCTTTGTACTCTTTGTCGTAGAATTGAGTATCCACCTCCTAGTTGAGATACAATTTTTTATTATATCCATGACAGGTTCATGCCCCCTGATGATCCTCTTGGCAGACATGGCCCAAGCCTGGATAATTTTCTGAGGAAGAAACCTATTGTTCCTGAACACAAAAAGCAGCCTTGTCCATATGGTAACTTTCTTTATGGGTATTTAATACATGCCTTTAGAACACAACATATTGTTAAACTTTTGTTAATAAAAATAAACATTTTAAATTTTGGATGGTATAGTATGTGGTTCTTTTGATTGTAATGAAATTTAAGCATATCTTAGCCATGAGAAAGAATTATTTTTACATAGTTGGGTTCAATGCCAAGTGGATTTCCCTGAATTAAAACACAGTTCCAAAGATTCAGTTAATACTACATGAAGTTAGCTTTCAGATGGATAAAAACTTGGAGTCCTTATGCCTAGATACAAATCAGAGGAGCATGGTTTTGTCCTATCACAGCTGTACGTGTTGCTCTTCAGAACAGAATTTCCTACCTGATCATAAACTTCCTGGAAGAGAAGAGGCAGGTGTGAGTCGGGCACACAGGGTACTAGCCAAAAACCCTGGAGGTGATTATTAATCATTCAGCCAACTTTCTTACTGCTCTTGATAGTAAGGAATGGCAAGACTGAATCAAGGTGGTATTTCTCAAGAGTAAGGAGCAGAGTAACACTTAGCGTACCTCCCATTTCTGCCTTTGTTTCTTAATGCAAGTTAAAATAATAGTGCCAAACTGAATTTTTCAGGATCTGGTGGTGTGCTCCTTTGCCTAATTAATTTTTCTCTTCATAGGGAAGAAGTGTACCTATGGACACAAGTGCAAATATTACCATCCCGAAAGGGGCAGCCAGCCTCAGCGGTCAGTGGCTGATGAACTTCGTGCCATGTCTAGGAATACAGCAGCCAAAACTGCAAATGAAGGAGGACTGGTGAAAAGCAACAGTGTTCCCTGTAGCACTAAGGCTGACAGCACTTCTGATGTCAAACGAGGTGCTCCAAAGAGGCAATCAGATCCAAGCATAAGGACTCAAGTCTACCAAGACCTAGAGGAAAAGCTTCCCACCAAAAACAAATTGGAAACCAGGTCTGTACCTTCCTTAGTTAGTATACCGGCTACTTCTACTGCAAAACCCCAAAGCACTACATCTTTAAGCAATGGCCTTCCATCTGGAGTTCACTTTCCACCTCAGGATCAAAGACCACAGGGACAATATCCTCCAATGATGATGGCAACCAAAAATCATGGAACGCCAATGCCTTATGAACAGTACCCAAAATGCGACTCGCCTGTTGACATTGGATATTATTCCATGTTGAATGCATATTCAAATCTGAGCATCTCGGGCCCACGGAGTCCTGAAAGGCGTTTCTCCTTAGACACCGATTATAGAATAAGTTCTGTAGCTTCGGACTGCAGCAGCGAAGGGAGCATGAGCTGTGGGAGCAGCGACTCCTATGTGGGGTACAACGACCGTTCCTACGTCAGTTCTCCCGACCCACAACTAGAAGAGAATTTGAAGTGTCAACACCTGCACCCTCACAGCCGCCTTAATTCCCAGCCCTTCCTGCAGAATTTCCACGACCCCTTAACCAGAGTGCAAAGTTACAGTCATGAAGAACCAAAGTACCATCACAAGCCTCCTCTTCCACACTTGGCTATGCATCTGCAGCACCCAGCTGTGGGTGCCCGGTCCAGTTGTCCCGGTGATTACCCCTCTCCTCCAAGTTCAGCACACTCTAAGGCACCACACCTGGGGAGGTCTTTAGTGGCCACAAGAATAGACAGCATTTCCGATTCTCGGCTCTATGACAGTTCACCTTCAAGACAAAGAAAACCTTATTCCCGCCAGGATGGGCTGGGAAGTTGGGATAGGCAGAGTTACGGGATTGATGCATATGGCTATCGGCAGACTTACTCCTTGCCTGATAACTCCACACAGCCATGCTATGAGCAGTTCACCTTCCAGAGCCTACCTGAACAGCCAGAACCTACCTGGCGAATACCATACTGCGGAATGCCACAAGACCCCCCAAGGTATCAAGACAACCGGGAAAAGATTTTTATCAACTTGTGCAACATCTTCCCACCTGACCTTGTGAGAATTGTCATGAAAAGGAATCCTCACATGACAGATGCCCAGCAGCTAGCTGCAGCCATTTTAGTGGAGAAATCACAGCTGGGTTATTGAAAGATGATGCATCTTTGTGGTGTTTAGTAGTTTTTTTGTTCAGCTCAAATGCTGAGGGAGGTTTGCTACAATAGCACACATGATCTCCTTCTCAGCAAGGAGGTTATATAGTATCCATTTATGTGAAATACTGTATCATGGAATCTGTATGTATAGCCCCACATGGTGGAAGTATCACGGGATTGCTTTACATTCAAACATTTTTTTAACGTTTCCTTTTTAAAGCTATATCCTTGGCTGGAAATTTTTCCAGTTTGATTTAATAGATGTATCTGTGATCTTTGATATTAATCTTTGGTGCATCAGGGGTTTATATGCAGCACTTTTTATCCTTGTTTCATGTTTTATTACCTTGGTGTTTGTCTATCAATTGCAAGCAATTACAATACCTACAGAATGTTGAACATTTGACTAGACCTAGCAAACTATTTTTTCAAGCCAAGCTTAATTAGAATCTTTTACAGCTTTTTAAGTTGTTTTTATTTGGGGAAAGTGGGCTTCTTTGTGCTAGAATCATTATTTATAGAAACAAAGATATACTACAGCACTGACTTTATATTTTAAACAAAATGTAAGTTACCAGTTTATGTTGAAATGGGTAACAGGATATATTAGAATGATTTACAAGATGGCACTTTTTTTTTTTTTATATGTTAAGTAATTAGTTAATTTAATATGGTTGGTTTAAAGGAAAGCAGATGCAATCAGTGGAAAAAATATTTCCATTTTTTATACGAATAAGGCAAAAGCTATAACTGTTACAGTTAGAGCTTTGATATCCAGCTATTATGTGCTTCTAGACAGTAGAAATGGAATTGAATTCCTAGATTTTCATTAATTTGTCTTTTTAATGTGTCTGTCTTTTTGTTTTGGGGCACAACAATACTGGATAAAATAACCCTTTCACAGTACTTGCCTGTTTTTAATGAATCTAATTATTCTCAATGCAACTTTTATATTTAATATACTCTTCAGCTTTCCTGCTATTTATCAAGGCTGGCCTGAGGTGGTTTATGTGTTGAGGATATGCAACATTTATTGATACTGCACTATAGAAATGGCGACAGAGGAGTTGTAAATGGTAACTTAAATTTTTTGTAAGATACTGTATATTTTCCATTTTCCTGAAGGTAGTTTTTTTGGGGCCTGTTATATTATTAAGGCCAGATTCTTGCCACAAATAGTGTAGTTTTAGATACAGACTGAAGTCTGTTCTAGTATTAGTAAGGGATATTTCTGGTTCAAAGCCATGGGTTTTGCTAGATGCGAAGACGTTTCTGTGGGTCGGAAGATAGATGTTGGCAATCAGTGGCAGATAGCAGTGTGATTGACAGCGCTTGGACTGTTGCCTCCGGCTTTTCAATTTTACTCAGTGTAACAGCCTCGTTCAGGTCGGTTTCTGTAGTCAGCCTAGATGCCCTGGTTATTCTGATTTCTCTACTTGCTGCAGTTTGAAGCCCTGAAAAGCCAGAAAGGACCTTTTACTGTTGATACAAATTGTATCTTTTTAACTATAAGAACTATTTTGATTTGTAGAGCTAGTTAAAACACAAATGTGTAACTGTGGTTAGACTTTTGGGCAACATTTTATCCCTTATTTAAATATAAATTTTTACAGTAAAATTGAGGTCTAGACTAGGGTAGAAAATAACAGTAACAATTTAGGTAAATAAAAAGCATCTGTCTTAGTTTTATATACTATATTAAAATATATTAAATTTATTGGCATTTTATTTCTCCTAAAACTTATCTAGTGTGAACTTAACTTAAAATAAAGGTAAAATGCTGCCTGAAAATAATGTCCAAGCACCTTTGACTAGGATAACATTTTCACTACTTGTGTGACACTGTGTGTTGCATGAAGTAGGATTTGGGTATACAGTAAATGCTTCTAAAAGGCATTGTGCATATTGACATATCCAATAATCTGAACCGTGTTCAGCAAACTTAATTCAGGAAAGTGGTGTTCTACACAATTATTGCTGTTGTTTTTGCGGTGAGTATGGCGCTCCTCTGTACCCAGAAGTGGTACAGGTGATGCCACACACACCATCCTGAGTGGCGTCTGTCTGAGAGCAGCCCTGCTCGTGAAAATCGTTCTCCTTGATTTTGTTGGTCACTACCTGTAGAACAAGCTTAAATGTAGAGGCTAAACCAGTGCCAGAAGTAGGGTTACAAATGTGTAGTAACTGTTATTTTAGTCATATTCTAAGAATTTTTTTTTTTTCGTATGAACTCACGGTTTTAAATTGTACATGGCAGCCTTTGTTTCAGTTGCTTCATTTTACGTTTTAATTACTGACGAGTCTGCTAAACTTAACGGAGCTCTTTGTTGAAGTGAAGTCGTAGGTGACTGTATACCACACTTTTAATTTGGCCTTCCAGCGTTTTTAGCGGATTGACTACATGTCAGTTGCTTCACTGATGTTTAAACCATGGAGAAATAGTGTAGTCTGCTGCCACCTGTACTGATGTGAATAGCTCTGACCAACACATACTGAAACCCTTCAGTAACAATTAATTTTGAGTTAAGAAATTGCAGCTTTCGTATGTCAAGAGGACAATTTGTCCCTTTATCTTGAAGCACCAACGTTGCTTTCAGAGCTTAAGAATGAGATATTGGCAGATTTTAGGTACAGCGGTTTCTTAATTCTCCAAAGCAATAAGTAAAAGGATCCATCATTAAATTAAATCCACAGCTGATCCTAAACCTTCATTTTAGCCAAAACTTTCTTCCTAATCCAGTCATTTACCAGACTTGCTAATAAGTAACTAGAGAGAGGTTTGTTAGTAAGTAGTGAAATTGCCAGAAGTGGTCAACTGATAGAAGAAAAAGGACTCAGATTGGAATATTCTGCCCCTGAATAATTGACAGTTGACTGTACTTTACACAGTAATTAGCCAGTTCATCGTCTCTGTGTCTTAGTACAGAGGGAATCGTACTCAGCTGGCCAAATACTGGCCCTTAGTATTTCCTCCTTTCTTGCATGTGATACATAAATTTTCAATCTTATTTTTATGATCTGTATATCCTGATAGAGTTTGTCATTGACCTAAACATTTAAAAGAAATGCACACCAGTATAAGAAGATTTGGTGGAAACTTGAGCTTTGTGTTTTTTATGAAAATTCATTTATGAGAATATATAATATAAAAGAATGTTTTATATCTATCTATATATAGACATACATACCTATTTGTTATGAAGAATTAAGAATGGGAGGGGCGTGCTTTTGATGGCTAACTTTTCCCTGATTGGACTATGTTCCTTTGAGATGTGGACAACCAATCCTGGGGTCTGGGTGACCAATGGTAAGATTTAGAACACTTGAATGGAAAGCAGATTCTTCACTGGTTTTATTCCTGGTCTTTTTAAATAATTATTTTGATAATTTTAATAGAACATGTAATTTTAAAAAACAAAAAGGCTTAAAGTAGTATTGATTATACAAATAATTATTTAACCTGTCTTTTATGGCTGTATCTATATGTATATAGACAGTAATATATTTATAAAACAGATGTGCTTTGGTTATGTTGTGGCTATTAGTTTGTGATAGGTGGGAGGGTAGCTATGGGATGTGTGTGTGTGTGTGTGTGTGTGTGTTGAAAATCCTCAGCTGTTTTTCCCCCCGATTTAATGGCATTGACTCTAAAGTATATTTGATTTTCATTATTCTTTCTGCTAACACTTATTCACCTCCCTCATTGCAGATAAAATAAGATGTACAGTTTTTTGGCCATTCTCTTGATGTTTGGCTCATCTATTTGGTTATCATCCAACTCCTGAAGAATTCCTGGGTGACTGAAATGAAAACAGTTTATGGGCAGAGATAGTGCTTCTGTCCAAATAGATGAAAGATGAACACAGCCATTAAGTTTCCAAGGTATATACCAAACAATAAAATGAAGTATAAAAAAGATAGATTACATATTAGAATAAGAGAAACCAAAGTATTAATAAAAGTAGAGAAACATACACATTATTTTAGATTGGTCTGGGAAAGCCCCTATAGCAAGAATTGGCAAACTTTTTCTAACAGTAAAAGATCAGAAGGAAATATTTCAGACTTTGAGAATCATATGGTCTCCAGAAACTACTCACCTCTGCTGTTACAGCACAAAAGCAGCAATAGCCAGTGTGTAAATGAATGGATGTAGCTGTGTTCCAGTAAAGCTTTATTTATGAAAACAAGCAGCAGGCCAGATTTGCCTTTTGGGCCATAGTTTGCTGACTCTGCCCTAGAGGGAGAAAAACAGTCATATTAAGCAGTAAACCCTGATATATGTTAATATAAGAAAGAATTTATTTTAGTTGCCATTAAATGAAGTAATTGATGGCTTTCCAAAGAATATTGAGACAGTCATATTAAAGCATCTTAATCCATTTATGTTTTTTACTTGGTCATACCTTTTATTTATTAGAGACATTTCTTGGGTTTAACCACACAAAAAGTATTCTGTAAAAAGATGTTTTAGTAAGTATGAATTTTTTTTTTCATGAACTTTACATTTCCAGCGATAGATGGGAATCCCTAACCTATCCTTGAACCAAAAATCCTGTTGTATTTTGAAAATTAGCATATAATCAATTGGCCACAAAATATCTTAAAGACTGTATTGATCATTTATGGTTTTCTGCTGGGTTTTGGCTTCTAATAAATGACAGATCAGCCATTCTTCGAAAATGGTTTTAAAGAAAAATATATTGCAATTCCACATACTATAGCTTTATTCTCTAAGTTTAAAAATTGTGACTAGTATAATTTTAGCTATAATGTGAGTGTATTTGTTGTATTGTGACTCTGTAAGAAACAAAGTGTATCCTTGCTTTCTCTGTCTAAATCTTCAGTATAGATTTTTTAGACACTGGTGAATGATACTCTTAATATGATCATGTGTAATTTTAAATTTCATCGGGAGTACACACTGCTGAACATGTTCATTCTCAATGCTTTATAAATTGTGTTACATCAATAACAAGAACATTAAATCATTTTGAACAGTACCATCTACTGAAGTATACTTTTTTTTAAAAAAACGAATACAACTCTATCTTTTTAAAGTGCTGATTGTTTTAAGTGATTAATTATTTTTTCCTTTAATGCTGTCTGTTAACCTACTTATTACATCTGTTACAATAATACTGCTGTGTATTAGAAGTGGATTTTTCCCTAAGGTCCTTACTCTTTCAGATTTAAAAAACTTCTTAAGGTTTTGACTGCTGGCAGTAGCAAATGTCCATGCATGTTTTCATCTAGTTTTACAAAACTGGGAAAATTTCACTTTTTAAACCTTGTACCTAATTTGCCAGTTTTCTGTCCAAGAATTTCAGATGAGTAACAAAACGTTCATTAAAGCTTTTCCCCCTTTCTTAAATCAGCTTATGTGTCAAGGGAAAAAGTCATTGAAGAAAAATGGTTGGTTTTTATAAAAAATCTGTTTTAGATTTCCTTCACTTCTTTGAAATTGTAAATCTCCTACCTAATAGGACATTCCCACAAACTGCAGACTTGCGCAGAGCGCACCAGATCGCTGACTTACCTTCTTCTTTTAGGCTTTTTCTCCCCAAACCACAGCTGTATACTGATGGTCGGATTTCGGATCTGATCCCCAAGCTTTTTTTTACAGGAAAAGTAAAGCAAAGAATATGTTTAGAGCAACCATCTGATAAGCTGATGTGATTTTATTTATTTTCTGTCCTGTGTGTTTCTGTAATGGAATTTTTACAACTCCAAAAGCAGTAATTTAGGCCTTCTGGAAATCCATATTAAAACAGCTATGTGATTCTGCCACTGAGGGAAGAAAATTAAGAAATTCATTTTTTCTTATGGTGGTTCAGTTTTGTTTCATGAAGAAATGGAGCTCATACAGCAGTACAGATGCTAGAAAATGAAAACATCATCCTTCTCTAGCCCATACTTGCCTGCACTTAGAGATTAATAACATTCTGAGTCTTCCACTGGATAAGTGCAGGTTCAGTATCAGCGTACTGTAAGTGTTGGAGCCATAAAACTTTATATGAAAATTGAAATTAAATGCTGAAGACAACGAGTCATACACTAAGACATGGTGAGAGTGATTTCTTTCTCATCTGTCACTAAGTTTTTGGTGATTTTGGATATCATCAGGCATCTGGCTGAGACAATGATTGTTAATAGGGGCCATGTCCAGTGAGTTTATACAAAATGCTGGATGACATTGGCAGTGTCTTTTCTGATGATGATGACTACCAAGAAATGAGAGAGTATTGAAAAGATTTATATCAGTGGATTAATACTGATATTGTGCATTTGGCCAACTTTGAACAGGTATGTGACAGACATTGGGGGCACCAAGAGAAGGGTGAGGAAGTCTGTCCCTTCAAGGAGCTCACCTTGTGGCTGGACTGGAATCTACAAAAGTCAACTTAGTCAACATGAATAAGAAGGGCTTTTGAAAATAGACCGAACAAATCCTAATGAATAGAAATGGAAATTTGTATGTCTTTGATAGTCGAGCCTGAAAGACTTAGATCACTGTTGGGAAATGCTCTGCTTCTGAGAAAAACCTCCACAGACTTGGAATAGATTGTAGACTGCTTTCAGGTATTCAGGGGTGGTGGTTCAATCCCAGACCTGTACATATTTCTGTGGTATACACACAGACACACATGCATACATACACATACATACATACAATATGTAGAATTTGGGCACATCACCTTTCAGAGTCTTTTTCAATCTCAGTTATAAAATGATGTCAATACCTGTTTCATAAGTATGTTGTCACAAAGTAAATAGTGGCCATGATGATAATTGTCTTAGTTATCTAGTGCTGCTTTAACAGAAATACCACAAGTGGATGGCTTTAACAAATCTATTCTCTCACAGTGCAGGAGGCTAAAGGTCCGGATTCAGGGCGCCAGCTCCAGGGGAAAGCTTGCTTTCTCTGTCGGCTCTGGGGGAGGGTCCTTGTCATCTATCTTACCCTGGTATAGGAGCTTCTCAGCACAGGGACCCTGGGTCCACAGGATGCGCTCTGCACCTAGCTCTTCTTGCTTGGTGGTAATGAGGTCCCTCTCCTCTCTGCTCGCTTCTCTTATATCTCAAAAGAGATTGACTCAAGGATACAGCCTAATTCTGTTGATTGTGTCCTGCTTCATTAATATTAGGTTAAGATTTACAACGCATAGGATAAATGCGTCAGATCACAAAATGGTGGACAACCACACAATACTGGGAACCAAGGCCTGACCAAGTTGACACATTTTGGGGGGACACAATTCAATCCATGGCACTAATTCAAGGACAGATGCAAATAAATCCCTATTGCGCACTACTGCATTCGCCTCATTCTTACTGAAATAAAACGAGGACGTTCATCCCTACTATTCTAGAATACCAAGGAGCCGTGGTGGCACAGTGGTTAAGTGCTCTGCTGCTAACCAAGAGGTTAGTGGTCCGACCCCACCAGTTGTTGCATGGGAGAAAACTGTGGCAATCTGCTTCTATAAGGATCACAGCCTTGGAAACCTGACAGGGCAGTTCTGCTCTGTCCTATAGGGTCACTATGAGTTAGAATCCACTCGACAGCAACGGGCTTTCTAGGAAACATCGTCTTCCTAACCCAGTTGTTCTAAGAATTTTCTATCAATAATTAACGTGTCTGGTTTTGCCTTGAGGCTGCTAACATGACCTCTTCTGACCGATGAGTTTTTTTGTGTTATCTTTCTAGTTTTCTGCACGTCTGGTTGTATGAATCAAGCTTTATATTTTACTAATGCCTCCCTACCATCACAAATCCCCTCAGGTTCACTTTTACGTCCTTTTAGGAATTGAAAATACTCCATTTCAGATATGGTCACAATGCCAAAATGGCCTAATGATCTTCATGATTTAACAGACTCGTGTTCTATGACAATTGTCTTAGTTACCTTGAGCTGCCGTAACAAAGTACCACAAAGTGGGTAACTTTAAAGAACAGAAATCGCCTCACAGTGCTGGAGGTTAGACGTCCAAACTCAGGGCCTTGACAAAGCTGTGATCTCTGTAGGCTCTAATGGAAAATTATTCTTGCCTCTTTCCACTTCTGGCAGCCCTAGGCATTCCATGACTCCTAGATGGATCCTCACATGCTGTCTTCCCCTGTGTATGACTCTGTCTCCATATCTGTTCTCCCCTTTTATAAAACAGCACTCACAACGGATTAAGACTAGGACCCGCTCTGCTCCCCTATGTCCTCATTTAATTTAACCTCATTAACATAACAGAAGGAAACCCTATTTCCAAACAAGGTTACATTCACAGGCACAAGGGTTAGGATTTCAACATATCTTTTGTGGGACACGGAGCCTCTAGTGGTGGTTAAGAGCTTGGCTGCTAACCAGGAGGTCAGCAGTTCGAATCCACCAGCTACTCCTTGGAAACCCTGTGGGGCAGTTCTGCTCTGTCCTATAGAGTCGCTATGAGTTGGAAGCAACTCTATGGCAACGGGAGTTTTTTGTGGGACAATTCAATCCATAGTATCAGTGCATATTTTATTTCATCTAGCAGATTTTTCCCCTTCATTGCTTTTTAGACCTTAGGTTTTCTTGCTATTTTATCCTAAAATTGCAATTTACTATTGTCAGATATTATTTTTTCCACATAATTGTCCTAAACTTTTTAACTAGGATCTTGTGGGCTTTAGACAATGTTACCTTTGGCAGCAGATTTGATAATTGAGGTTCAGTGGTAGTTGGCCCGAGGAGCCCTGATGGCACAGCAGTTAAGCACTTGGCTGCTAACCGAAAGGTCAGTGGCCCACCAGGTGCTGCACGGGAGGAAGATGTGGCCGTATGCTTCCGGAAAGATTACGGCCTTCGAAACCCAATGGAGCAGTTCTATTCTACTCTGTCCCGTCCCATAGGGTCACTGTGAGTTGGAATCGACTCCACAGCAACAGGTTTGGGTTTGTTTTGGTTTGGTTTTTTTGGTAGTTGGCCAAGAACTCAGCATACCCAAAGTAAGCAGAGGTTCCCCAGGTCCTTGCGAAGGCTGAGCTGAGTGAGAATCTAGGAGAACATTAGATTAGGCTCCAGGGCTAACTAGAGCTAGTACTTCCCTCCTCCACCACCTGGTACCCTCAGCTAAAGAGAAAAAGTTAGTACATATTTTTGAATTAAGCAATGTTTGGAAAGGGGAGAGTTGTAAAAAGCAACTGTATTTGTGAGCTTATCCAAATAAAAGCAAAACCCAATAGCTGGGCCTAATTAGCTGTCTTAGTTACCTAGTGCTACTATAACAGAAATACTGCAAGTGGATGACTTCAACAAACAGAAGTTTATTTTCACAGTCTAGAAGGCTAGAAGTGCAAATTCAGGGCATCAGCTCCAGGGGAAGGCTTTCTGTCTCTGTCGGCTTTCGAGGAAGGTCCTCGTTGTCAGTCTTCCCCAAGACTAGGAAGTTCTCCATGCGGGACCCTCGAGTCCAGAGGACACACTCTGCTCTCGGCGCTGCTTTCTTGATGGTATGAGGTCCCTGTGTTTCTCTGCTTGCTTCTCTCTTTTATATCTCAAAAGAGATTGGTTCAGGACACAATCTAATCTTGTAGTTTGAGTCCTGCCTCGTTAACATAACTGCTGCTAATCCCATCTCAGCAACATCACAGAAGCAGGATTTACAACACACAGGAAAATCACATCAGATGACAAAACGGTAGAAAATTACACAATACTGGGAATTATGGCCTAGCCAAATTGACACACATATTTCTGGGGGACACAGTTCAATCCATGACATTAGCTAAAGGTGTAGAGTCGTTAACCTTCAGACCTCAGCTGTGGATACTGTTTGTGGGTCAACAGTGTTCAACAGAGTTCAACAATTTTTTTGTTTGTTTTTTGTTTTTAAAGTATTAAAAGGATTTTAAAGAAATCTTTTAAAGTTTTGAAGGGTTGTTTTTTAAGATTTTTAAAATAACCTTAAAAAAATGTTTCCTCTAAGTTCAGTCATCAGCCTGATACAGAGGCTGACTCCTAGTTCTAATACAACACAACCTGCCAGTTGCTGTCAAGCCGATTTTGACTCATGGTGACACCACATGTGTCAGAGTAGAAGTGTGCTCCATTGAGTTTTTAATGGCTGATTTTGCAGAAGTAGATCGCCAGACCTTTCTTCTGAGGTGCCTCTGGGTGGACCTCCACCCTTTCAGTTAGCAGCCAAGCATAGTTTGCACTACCAAGGGACTCGTATGTGACAAACTGACAAGTCAGTGGATGGAAGTCATTACCCCTATCTCCCAGGGCTGTTAAGATTAAGCAGTTCAAACAAGTAAAGCCCTATGAACATGCTGATCCCTAGTGTGTGTTCAATAAGTGGTAGCCATCGTTATTTAAATGATAAAAAACCAAACCCATTGCCATCAAGTCAATTCCAACTCATAGCCACTCTATAGGACAGAGTAGAACTGCCCCATAGAGTTTTCAAGGAGCACCTGGTGGATTCAAACTGTTGTCCTTTTGGTTAGCAGCCATAGCTCTTAACCACTACGCCACCGGGGTTTGCATTTAAATACACAGGCGCCGTTTTCAGGTTCTCATCAGAGCCTTCTATTAGCTATGCCATGGAAGAGTCTGAATTCTAACAATGCAACTTGATGTATTCAGTTGTTACAGTCTACTTCAGGATTTCAGGAATTGCATTTTAACCTTGAAAGGGCATAAAGTCTTCAGCATTGTACTATAGAGCAGAAGTTTAGAAGTGAGAGACCTTCCCAGCTCTGGGCACTTCTGGGAAGAACTCAAATCTGTTCCATTCTCAAGGCTGCATTCCTGGTCGCCCTGCCAAACCAAAACCAAACCCACTGCCCTTGAGCCGATTCCGAGTCGGAGTGACCCCGTAGGGTTTCCAAGGCTATAAATCTCTACAGAAGCAGACTGTCACATCTTTCTCCCCCAGAGCTACTGGTGGTTTCGTACTGCTAACCAAAAGCAGTCCAGTACTTTAACCACTGCCACCACGAGGGCTCCTTCTGGTAGCCCTGAGTGGAGGGTAAATCATGAGTTCTTCCTGTTTGGATGTTGAAATACTTGTTGGAGAATCTCTAAGAATCACTCCTGCACTCAGTAGCTTCAAACTGGAACAATGCTACCTAAGAACTTGCTCTGCCCGGCCTTCTCTTTTTATAGGTGGTGCTGTACAATAAGAGCAAGACAGAAGCTGAGCAGTGGGGGAAAATTGTCTTGATAAGAAACCCATGGTTACTTGGCAATAATCTCACCCATGTGAAGAACTGTTTGAGCACTTCACACTTGTGTAAAATAATATGTAACCACACAAATTCATGTCCATGGGATGGTTGTCATCAGCACTCTGCTCAGACCAGGATTACACTGTCTTAGACTTTCCCTCTCACGTTGAAGCAACAATTTTAATGACCATCTGCTATGTCTCTAGTGTACACTAAGGACTGACTTATAAATAACTAGCAGATTTGGGGTCTTCGACATTTGTTAGCTAGAACTGGAAAATTCTCACATTATCCCAAGCCTTTCTCAACTGGGATTCCTCATCTAAACCATGGAACACAAATGGTTTGAGTGACCCGTTTCTCACGTCTCCAAAGGAAGATACACAACTACTTCTTAGGAGGGAAGTTGACGTGTCACATACGGTGGGCGCCTTAGGCCATCAGTTGAGAAAGGCTGGCAAGTGGATTTGCATGTGGGAGCCTCGGTATCACAGTGGCTGAGCTGCTGCAAGCTCTTCTTTCTCCACAAATATGGTCAAAGTCTTGAACTGCAGGAACATGTCAGTGCCTTGTCTTTTATTTCACTGCGAAAGGGGAATGGTGCCCACTCTATTGC